TGACTGCATACAGGGGCTCAAAGTTGACGTGAGTGTTTTCCTAACACTCCCCACCCTGCTGAGGTCTCTCGCTGAGCCCTCAGCTCACTCATTAGGCCATTCCCACCCGAACGGCCACTCTGTCTGTCCTGCTTTTACCTGTGTTGGACCCAAACCCTGCTTTATCCACGAGCTATCTCTCCAGCCTGAAAATTCCTTTGGGTTCCAACTATTTGGACTCCTTTTTTCCTCCATCTCTTCCTTCCCTCACTGCTGCCTCAACCTTTAGGTCTCTGGCAGGATTTTGTCGTTGAGACAGGATCTACGTAGCTTTGGCTATAGTGGAATTTGCTATGTAGACTAGGCTGACCTCAAACTAACTGAGATCAGCCTGCCTCTGTCCAGTGAGGCCCCCAGCCCCACTGGCTTCCTCTCCCCTTCTACAGACAGCTTCGCACTCGCTCACTCTCTCTTTTGGTTTTTCTAGACAGAGTTTCTGTGTAGGTTTGGCTGTCCTGGACTTGCTTTGTAGACAGGCTAGCCCCGAACTCAGAAATTTGACCTGCCTGCCTCTGCCTCCCTGAGTGCTGGCATTGCGGACTCTCTTATGTAGCTTAGGCTGATATAACTCAGAGAGATCCTTCTGTCTCATCCTCTTGAGTGCTAAGACAACAGGTGAATAGGTATGCCACATAGGGACATTTTTTAATCTAACTTTGTTAGGTATTTTGTTTGCATGTACACGGATGTGGACCACGTGTGTATCTGATATCCAAAAGGCCAGAAGAGAGCATCAAATGCCCTGTACACGTACGTGCTGGGTGGGAACCGAACCCAGGTCTTCTATAAGAGCAACAAATGTCTTTAACTACTGAGCCATCTTTCCAGCCCACTGAAACTGTATCATTTTCAAGGCCAGAAAATGTGGGTACCTGGAATGCAGATGTGAGTTTCCAGACAAGCACACACGCATTCTTTTTTCTTTTTTAAATTTATTATGTATACAGTGTTATGCCTGCACACCAGAAGAGAGCACCAGATCTCATTATTGATGGTTGTGAGCTATTATGTGGTTGCTGGGAATTGAACTGAGGACCTCTGGAAGAGCAGCCAGTGCTCTTAACCTCTGAGCCATCCCTCCAGCCCCCTGCACATGCATTCGCTCATATAGAATTCCCCCCAACTCCTCTGACCAGAGGTAATTAAGACCTAATTAAGGCCTCTCCACAATGCTTGATCATCTCCCTCAAGAGGCAGCTGGCTGGCTCAACAATAAGGCTTCAGCACTGAGAGTGTGCCTGGCACCCTGCTGGTGTCATTAAATATTTGCTGAATGAGTGGATGTGGAATGCTGTCATCACATAAAACTGGGGTCCTGACCTAGTCTGGAAGGCTCAAGGCCTCTTCCCAAAGAAGCGTCACTGGAGGCAGACTCAAGGAAGAGGGTTGCCTAGGTGGGAGACAAGACAAAGATGAAGGCAGCCTTCCAGGCAGCGTGGCCATCACGCTATGTACCCCGGTATGGAGATCCCCTGGTGTGAAGGAGGAAGTCAGGAGGGAAGCTGTGATGACCTGTCTGAAGGGAGAACCGGGCTCCCACACTGCGTTTAAATGCTTGGTCCCTAGTGGCTAGATCTACCTGGGGAAGCTTAGGAAGTGTGGCCTTGCTGGAGGAAGCTGTCACTGGGGGCTTGGAGGTTTCAAAAGCTAGCCACCATGCCGGTCCCAGTTCAACTTCCACTCTAGCCACTGTGCCGCACTGCTGTGGCGAACTCTTTGTTGTTGTGCTTGAGACAGGGTAGCCTTGGCTGGCCTGAAGCTTGCTATGTAGACCAGGCTGGCCTGGAATTTACAGTGTTTGAGGACAGAGACTACCTGTCTCAAAAAACAAGAACAAAACACTTTTTACTATATAGATGTCTTTGGATCTGATTAATTTTGGTGTATGAAATCTTTTTTTAATTTTTTTTTTTTTTTTTTTTTTTTTTAGTTTTTTTTGAGAGAGAATTTCTCTGTATAACAACCCTGGTTGTCCTGGAACTAGCATAGACCATGCTGGCCTTGAACTCACGCAAATCCTCCTGCCTCTGCCTCCAGAGTACTGGGATTGAAGGTGTGCATCGCCATGTCTGGCAGTGTATGGGGGTATGAGGGGTTCGGTAGATAAAGGCACTTGCTCTGAGGCCTCATGCCGGAGTTTTAACCCCAGAAACCAATGGCAGGTGGACAAAACTGACTCCTACAAGTTGTCCTCTGACTTCCACAGGTATGCCATGTGTGTGTGCCCATTTGTGAACACACACACACAACAGATAAAGAAATGTTAAAAACAAAACAAAACAAAACAGAATATGTTTAAAGGGTGGGGAAAAGTGGACTCAGAGCTGACAGAAGCCACTGGAAAACTGCCGTGCATCTAAACGTTACGGTCACATGGTCTTTCCTGACACCACAGCTTCAGTGAGGAGATGGAACTCAAACACTAACCAGGAGTCTACCGCCGAGCAACAGTAAGAGCTCCAAGCAGGGGACTCAGCCCGGGCTTAAGCAGGCGGCCGCAGAGGGTGTGCACAGAGGGGGGTGGACTCTGGTGGACAGTGATGATGGCAAAGATGAGTCAGTAAGAGCGCCACAGGAGCAACCAGATCCCTCCCCGTCCTAGATTTGGACACTTCTATTAATGTGGTCAAAAATTATAGATGCTTTTTTTGGGGGGGAAGGCACATCAAACTTTCTGAGTCACTGTGCTTGCAGGCAAATGCTTCCTCATCATAATAACTCTTACTGGGACAAGAAGTCTCTTCTTGCAAACGAGCAGGAAGAGCCTGAGCCCAGGCCAGGTGGCTGTCTCACAGATCAGAGAACGGAATGCGGAAGCATTGCATACAAGCTAAGGCCGGAGAAGCTGGAGTGGGTCATTTAAAAAAGGACAAGATGATCACGGGCCGGGCAGCCTGAGTGTTCCTTCCTCCAGGCTAACTAATTCTTTACCCTACCCCATTCTTTCTTTCTTTATTCCTTCTTTTTTGAGACAGGGCCTTACTATGTAGCCCTAGGTGACCTGGAGCTTACAGAGGTAGACCTGCCTCTGCCTCCTAAATGCTGTGTTTTTACTTAGATTTCTCTTTATGTATATGTGCTTTACCTGCATGTACGTCTGTCCATCCAGTGTGTGCCTGGTACCCTCGGATATTAGACGCTGGAGTAGGATCCCCTGGAACTGGCAGATGTGTGTGAGCCAACATGTGGATGATGGGAACTGAACACAGGTCCTCTATGAGAGCAGCAAATTCTGAGTGTGCCGGTGTACACATTTAACCCAGCACTTGGGAGGCAGATTTCTGTAGGTTTAAGACCAGCCTGATTTACATAGCGACTTCTGGGACAGCCAGGGCTATGTAGAGAGACCCTGTCTCAATAAACAAACAAACAAAAATAAATAAATAGATAGATAGATAGATAGATAAATAAATAAAGTGTTCTTGTTCTCTGAGCCTTTTCTCCAGTGTGCCCCTTTAAAAAATGTGATTATCTGAATGGCTGCCTAGTGCCCCTCAGAGGCCAGAAGACGGCAGAAGATCCATGAAGCTGGAGTTGCAGATAGTTGGGAGCTACCATGTGAATGCCAGGAACTGAACCTGGGGCCTTTGCAAGAAGAGGAAGTGGTCTTAACCCAGGACTCTCCCACCACACACACACACACACACACACACACATCTTTCTCAAAGACAGAGTTCTCTGTAGTCCAGGCTTCCCTGAAACTCAGAGTGTAGTCTGGGTGGGCTCTGAGGTCATGACAATTCTCCTGCCTCAGTCTTCTGAGTGCTGTAATGCTTGGATTACAGACATGGGCCAACCCAACAAGCTTAAGCTAATGAACTTCTGAGATACCAGTAGCACTTGGGAATAGAGCAAAAGGTCAAGGTCATTATTGGCTACACATCAAGTTCAAGGCCAGCCTGGGTTACATGAGAGACTATTAGAAGGAAAAAAAAAAAAGAATGAACAAAACAACAAGAGCAACAAAAAACAAAACTTAAGGGCTGGAGAACTGGCTCATAGGTTGTGCGTGAATACCTCCAGAGGACTAGAGCTTGATTCTCAGCACCCATGACTCACAACCACCCATGACTCCAGCTCCTCAGACCCCCCGAAGGCGCCCACACTCACATGCACAAATCCACTCACACACCCATAATTTAAAATAGTAAGACTAACTCTTAAAAAAACATTAAATTTTAAAAATGAGCCAGTGAGATGAGTCTGTGGGTAAAAGTGCTTTCCACCCAAGCCTGACAGTCTGAGTCTAAGCCCTGCAGCCCACAGCAGCAGAAAAGACTGACTACGGAAAGCAGTACTGTCACTCGAATGCATACTCGCCCCACACACAGAAAAAGAGGAGAAAATTAGGACTGGGAACGTGGCTGATCTGAAGAGTCCATGACTCTACAGTGGGGGCTGGTAACTACTTATTTTCCAGGCTGAGCTGGACGCATTCGACCACATATAAGTTACTGCCATAGTTAGTGCAGAATTCTATTATGTCTAATTACACTTGGGGTAAAAATTTATTCAGAATGAAAGGAAGGAGAGAAAGGAAGAGGAGGAAAGAGGAGGAGGCACAAAGCCTTCTAAGATAAAGGCTCACTCTGTAGGCCAGGCTAGCCTCGGCCATCCTCGTCTCTACCTTCCCAGTGGGGTTTCAGTGTGAGCCTTTCTGCCTGGCTTCAGATATTCTTCTGAGTCACAACGCTTCCAAAGCTGTGTCTTTCAATCTGTCCTATTTGTTCACGTGGTTCCGAGCTGTGTTTCCAGGAGACGAGCTGTGCCCTGAACCCCTATTTTCCTTCCTTGTGACACTCAGCCACACTGGAGCCAGGGGCCAGACTGCATTTGAGAAGAACGTTCCTCTCTAAGTTCCAAGAGCACCAACCTGTGTGGGCTTTGGATGCCTGACCTTGGCCAATTAGTCCCTTGCTCAGTGTAACCAACCGAGTCACAGATTCAATTGGATGTGCAAACATTTATTGAGCACCCCGGTGCCAGGTGATTTCTGTCTGCTCTGTGAGTGCAGTGAAGCTCGTCTCTGCAGGCTGAAGTTATCTGTATTTCAAGGCAAAAAGGTAGGTTTTAAGTACCGTTAGGGGCAGTAATGGCTGCCTCAGACAGGGGAGGGCATGGGCTGAGGCAGAGGGAAGAGAAGCTGGGAAATGGCCTGTGAGTCAGGATAGCACAACCTGGCTGGAGACAGAGCCAGATAAAGCCTGGGGACTTTTCTTTCCCTTAAATCCCCCACCATTTTCTTTTTAATCGGGGGAAAAATAATGCATTCACATAGTAAAAAAAAAAAAAAAAAAAAAAAAAAAAACCCACAAAAGGGTATACAATGAAAAGTAACTCCTTTTCCTCTCTCAGACCTCCAGGCCCCAGGATCCTTCTTCAGAGGCATCCCACTGCTAACCGTTTCTTTGTGTCTTTCCAGAAAACGTCTATCACGTACAAGTAACTCTTTCTTTTTAAAATCCAAATGTTATCACAGCGTATTAGCACTGCTTTTTCTCGGCAATACGTCTCGGCACACAGCCCACAGCAGTGCAGAGCAGCCCATTCCTTGGATCGCAGAGTCCTCGTGCTCAGGGTGCTCTATCTCGCACCGATCGGTCCCCCACTGACGGGCTGGGGGACGGTACTCCTCCTGCTTTCTTACTCAGGCTTCGAGTTCTGGTGTGAGGGGTCCAGGAGACAGCCTCCTGGGTGAGGACCTGCTCTGTTGAGAGAGTTCCAGCTGTGAACATGGCTGAGAAGTCCTCCACCACCAAAATCCCCTTCTTCGAATACTCAGTTCCCTCATGACATGTGACCGCATCACAGAGAAGGAAGAGTCCTTTTCTAGATTTAGTGACTCACCTTATATATTTGGGGACTCTGTTAGCTAACAGACTACAGCTTCCTCAAGTTGTGTGCTAAGAGCAAGGAGGGAGAGCAAAGTTTAATGATGCAATCAATGCCTGGCTTATCACACATGCTCCATCAGCTCAGGTTTTATCTGGTACTATCATTGCCGGTATGATCTGGAGAGGCTCTGCCTTGCCAGTGGCCAAGCAAGCTCCTGGTGCTGGTCTGGTCCGGGCATCTAGGCACTGCTGAGGCACTGAACTGGAGCCCACTCGGCTTTTGGAGCGGGATGAGAGCTGAGACAGGCAGTTCCTGCTTGGCATCTGGAACTCCAGGCCTCTGCCAGTACCTAATAAACACCACACTTCACGCTTCGCCATCGTCACCCACGCGTCCCTGGTGCCCGCTGATGGTGGCTGCCACTGCACACAGTCAGCATTTCAGTCTTTACGACCTGCTTTTTCTTTTTTCTTAACCGGAAGCAGCCTGAATGGCGTCACTGTGACATAATGAAACCCCAGTTCTGTTTTGGAGGTGACGGTGAGTAGGGTAAACATATAAAAAATGTGACTGGTTCTGAGAGCATAATTCCAGCCCTAGGGAAGCAGAGGGTTTGAGGCCAGTATGGGCTATATAAAAAGACTGTCTCAATGAATGAATGAATGAATGAATGAAATAAATGAATGATCTTCATCTAGGGGGTTAATCAGACCTGAGTTCAAATCCTGAGCCTGGAAGAACTCCATGACCTTGGGAAGTCATTTACCTCCTTCAGTCTTAATTTTATCACCTGTTAAGTGGGCCAAGGGCTTGTTCTCTTAGAGGTATAGTGAGGAGTAAGAAAGATAATGAATTATTTAAGAAATGTTTAATAGATGGGCCTTGCTCCAAAAATGACCTCAGTCAGCCGCCATAATGTATGTGAAGAGCCTGGCACATAGCAGTGGCTCAATAAAGCTTCACTTTCCTTCCGCTGCCCTTCTGTCAGAGTGGTCACTTCTAGAACCACGCCCCATTTCAAGTAAAGCACCTCGGAGCTTCCTCACGCAGAACCTGGCCCGATTCTTTAGGGCGCCATCTCATTTTGAATCCAGACAACTTTTTAAATCCCAATAACACAAGCGACTCACATCCTGAAAATCCCTCGTCCCCTTTATTCTCAACACAGCTTCAAATTACTTTTGGCCTTTTAAAAAAAAAAAAAAACCCACCCTCAAAGGTCAAGAATTTGACAGTCGATGCTATAAGAGGAAAATGCTATGAGATCTGAAGCAGTTTTGGAGTCAACTCTTCTGAGGAAGTGTGGCAGAACTGAAAGAAAAGCACACACACACCCATGCGTGCATTCACTCATGTACATGCACATATAAACATACACTCACACACACATAGACACAGATTCACAGACTCTAACACATACACACACACACAAACACACATAATACAGACTTACAGACTCACTCACACATACACACTCACACATACGCACACAAATACACATAAAGGCAGCCAGGCTTTGTTGTGCATGCCTTTAATCTTAGAAGGCAAAGGCAGAAGGATCTCTGAGTTCAAGGCCAGCCTGGTCTACAGATCAAGTTCGAGGACAGCAATGACTCTGTTACACAGAAAAACCCTGTCTCAAAAAGCCAAGGGGGGAAAAATAACCCAAACAAGAAAATCAAAACAAAACACAGGCACACAAACATGCGCACACAAACACACAGACACATGCACGCCGCTGCCCCCCCTCTTTTAAGCCAGCCCATCCCCTGAGACCTCCGCATTAGGCCCTCCCTCTGAACAACTCCACCTCAGCACCCCGCAGGCCCGAGTCTAGCTCCAGCCGGGGCAGGAGCAGAGTTGGCGGGGTCTGAGGAGTATGGGCTCCGGCAGAATTCCCAGATAGTAAACCCAGGGACAAGGTGCCCAGAGGATGGCCAGAGATGGAAAATGGAGTGGCTGTTGCTCCTTTTATAAGAATGAGGAGCAGTTTGGGAGTTTGGGGGCCAAAGACAGGTTACCATGGGAACAAGGTGGGGTCTCCCCGTGTGTGATTCCATTGTTTTCATTGAGAGAACTGCTGTCTTGTCTGGCTGGCCTCAAATCCCAGAACTCAAATGATACTCCTGCCTCAGCCTCCCAAACAACCATTAATTAGATTTGTAATACTGTAATAACACGACTTGAAACTCTCCAGCAGAGGTCACTGGGCCATTGGGGGAGCAAATGGCTTAAATATCCATGGCCTTACCTCAGAATGCCCAAGGGCCCTCTCCCACCTCCTGCATATCTTGGGAGCTTGTTTTCTTCCACTCCCAATCTGGGAGAAGGTCCTGACCCCACTTAACCTCCCGGAAAACTAAGAACAGTGAAGCCAAGTAAAGAGACCACAGGCTCCAGAGTCATCCAGGCTGGATTCAAACCCCAGCTCAACTTGTAATCCTAGGCCTTGGGAGGTAGAAGCCTCCGAGGATTTAAGTAGTTCAAGGTTAGCAGCATGAGTTTAAGGCTAGCCTCAGCTACAAGAGATCCTGTCTAAAAACAAAACAAAATCACTAACACAAACAAATCCCACTTCAGGGGCCTTGGACCAAGAAGAGCCTGTGCTGCTGTCATTTTGCATTGGCATCCAGGGAGTAGAGAGAGATGAATGCTGGTTTTTGGCTAGCTCTCACCTTTTCTCCATCTTCTCTGAGTCTGGGACACCCCATTCTGGGTGGCTTTTTCCTTCTCATTTCAACCCCACAGACACAGCCAAGGCCAAGATATATTTCTAAGGTGATTCCAGATCTAGTCAACTTGACAATAAAGATGAACATGCAGATGAAAGGAAATGATGTAGGTTCTCCCAAAGATGCCTCAGCCCACAAAAGCTGACCTACTACTACCTGTGCCAGATGGCAGGCGCCACCTCTTATCATGCACACATGCAGTAAGAAAAACATAAATAAAAATTTAAAGATGGTGGCCAAGGCACGCGACTCTGCTGTTCTTTCTTTCCTTTTCTTTTTTCTTTTTCTTTTTTTTTTTTTTTTGAGACAGGGTTTCTCTGTGTAGTCCTGGCTGTCCTGGACTCAGTTTGCAGGCCTCAAACTCACAGAGATCTGCCTACCTCTGCCTCGCAGAGTGCTAGGATTACAGGCCGCACCACCACTACCGCACTTAGCTGACTCTGTTGTTCCTGAAGGAAGCCTGACACCCACTCTGAGCTTACAGGGATGGAGGGAGCCCCTGAAGGCTCAGGGATGATGAGCTTTTATTTTGAAAGCAGCAGGTGGAAAGTGCATCAGTAACTGAGAGGACAAGAATCAGGAATCTCTCTCGGGGACAAGCCCTTTGACGTCCCCTGACTGTCTCTTGCAGGTTAATTACATGGGTGAGGGGTTTTGATTGATGGGGACCCCATCTATGGGAAAGCACAGTGGTACTCCCGGCCCTTGGCACTGAGGGATTCCTCTGCACAATGCAGCCCCTCTCGGAAGGCTCGCTGTAAGATCCAGTCAGTTCAAGACAAGTCCTTATCCTTCAGCTAATTGGTTCACATCGATTGACCTTACAAGTGGGTCTAATGTATAACTGGTAGGAGCTGACCTACGTGCCAGGCAACCCACACATTTAACTAGCTGCCATTCAAGCAACTAGATGAGGCACATTAACCCGAATTTCTCACAATGCCTTCTGATAGGCTGAAGAGTCGCATTTCCATCACTGGACTAAAATATCTGTGGGGTCAATGGTACCGTTAGAGGTCCCAGGGCCTCTGTGGGAATGGAGATAATAGTCGGGTAGATTCCTTGGGGAGGCAGAGTGAGAGCTGAGCCTGGGACAGAGCCTCCTAGTTCTGTGCTGGCTCAGACTGCCACAGGAAGAAGGACCGAGTCCCAGCGCTGGCAGGGGAGCCAGCAACCTTCCTGGAACTCCTGTGGCCTGGCTTCCACTTGCCTTGCGCTCCACATATCCCTCAGCTGTTTCCCTGGAAGACTTGAGTCCGAATCATACAGCCCGTCTCTGAGGCTGGGTTGCCCCTCCCTCTAAATGGGAGCTGATGTTCAGTCTCATTGTTACCAGTCTCTGAAATGGAAACCCATTAAAGACACCAGATCATGCTGGAAAATCTTGCCAGAGTATGGGGAACAACGGCTCTCCCCAGCGTCCCCTTGGGGAAGACTGGCAACAGGCCAGGAATGCCTCCCATAACCCCTGGGGGTTTCCAGCCACCCTGGCTTTTCTGGCTCTGTTAATAAGCCTTAGTTGAGACCCTGAGCCCCTCCTCAAGGCTTGATCCTTGCTGCTTCCCTTATCAGCCCTGCTTTTCACAAGCACTTAAATTCACGAGAGAAGGGAAAAAGTGAAATCAGATAGAAATGCAGGTCTGTTTGCTGTTTTCTCCAATGAAATGGTTCTGAGTAAACAGCAGACGCCTTTGATGAAATCCCAGCAGGGCTTAAACAATAAAGCTGGTTACAAACTCAATCTGGCGGAGATATCAGATCTGAAATTGTTTCAAAAAAACATGTCAACATTTTTCTAATGCTCCTGGAAAGAAAAAAAAAAAAAAAACTTCCTGGACTGCCCGTCATGGGATTTGGGTCAGGGAGACAGGAGGTGGCCACCTCAGTCTCTGCTCCGACCCCTGTGCCAAGAGCAGGCTGTTTCTGGCTGGGCCCTTCCAGCTGCAGGGGTGGAAATGGTCGCTTTACAGGCACCGGCCCAGCCCGGCACCGACAGACCACCCCCACCACCCTGGGCCCTTCTCCTAACTCTCTGCCTTCCTACTCCACCCTCCTGCCAGCGGAAGCTTTTAAACAGGTAAATCAGCCCATGTCGTTCCTTTGCTTGAAATCTCTGCCATCACACAGCACTTAGAATAAGTGCAAGCTCCTCCCTCTGCCTACAAGACCCTTAGAGATAGCCACTGCCAACTTCTCCCTCCCCCGCACTCACACACCCTCCCCGGCCCTTCTGCCCTATCCCGGAGCAAGCCAGTTTCTTTCCTGCCTCTGGGTGTTTGCATTTGCTATAAAATTTGCCGGGGATGATTTTTATCCCAACCCACCGTCATTCTGACCCAGCCCAGCGAATGTTCTTTCCCAAGCCAAGCACAGCATCACATTACAGTTTTATTCTTTACACTAAATGCTGCCACTAGCTGAAATCATCGTTTGGGTTTAGTTATCAACCATCTCCTTCAGAATGCAATCTGTCTGCAGCCTGGACTTGTGTGTTTCCTTGCTGGCAGCTCGTGGCTCGGTGCACAGTAGGTGTTCAGTGATTACGATGTAAATGGAGCAGCCAGGACGTCACCAGCTCCTTTAGATATCTTCTAGGTCAGTACAAGCAACGAGAAGCCGGGAAACCCACCGGCTTTTCCTCTCTCTAGGGGTCTCTCTGCCTCCCCCGCCTCCCCCATAACCCACTAGGCCTTGAAGAGCAGGTCCGTTCTTGGGGCAGAAGCTCAGGCGTGAGCCAGACATGGGCCTTCCTAGTTACCGATCCCCACAACTTACTTGCTCACTCTTGGCACCTTAGCAGGGGTCTGCCGGTGGGGGACTCACCCCCAACCTTCTTGGAAAAGTGAAGATGCGGTGGGTGCGTCGAGTAGGCTCCGGGACTCAGTGTTTGGGTGATGCCACCCCTAGAGCACAGGGAGTCCCACCCCCACCCCCACCCCCACCCCGCCCCAGGCCGCGATCGATCCTTGCCGTTCCCGGCCTCATTACCGCGGAGAGCAGCCGGGGCTGGCGGAGGAGCCAGACGGCTGCGGAGGGGGCGGGGAGGCCTCCTTGGCTCCCTGGCCCGGATTAAATATTTACTATGTTTTGTTTGGCCTTTGGGGGAGGGGTGGAGAGGGTTGTCGCATCGATCTGGAGCTGCTGGGCCAGGCCAGGGCGAAGGCGATGCCAGGCCCGGTGACCTGAAGTCATGCTCCCGAAGTGGCGGCGCCCCCATCCCAGGCCACCACCCGCGCTGACAGATCTGGGCTGCGGCTCTGGCTCTGTTTGGTCCCACGGAGCCTCAGCGGGAGCTAGAATCCGGAGTCCCATCCTAGCCCCTTCGCCCCTACCCGCCCGGGATGTGCTAAGCCGCCTCGCAAGCAAGCCGGTTAACAGCAGCCTGGACTGCGTCACACTCCCCCTTTTACAGATGTGGGCTAGGCAGGTGCCGCGTGACCTCCAGGGATCTGGTCACCAAGGTCGCCCTGGCACTCTCCTACTCAGGCTGTGCTGCAAATTCGCTCTGGTGCACTCTGCCCCACTAGACCGGGTTTGCAGCAGAGAAGTGGAAAGGGGAGTGTCCTTGTTCCCGCAGGGCTCTGTGAGAGCTCTAAATACACCTGCTGGGTGTGCGGTGTGCGCTCAGGTAGGATCCCAGGGGCCCTTTACACACACACACACACACACACACACACACACACACACACGCACGCACGCGCGCGCGCGCGCGTTCATGCACACTCCCTCCCCCCTCCCTCGCTTTAATCAGTCAACTCTTAGTCCAGGAACGACAACCCAACCCTCACTGAGGGCAGTCAACTGCCTGGCCCTTCCCCCTCCTGGCAGCGCGGGCAGCCTCTCCACTGGGTGGATAGGCCTAGTCCTACAGAGCAGCTGGCACCACACTGACAGACTCTTGCTCAGCCTTGGTCCCACCTCACGTGGCTGCACAATCCCATGACATGTATCCACTCACATTACACACGCTTGGAGTGGTGGCTCACACTTGTATTTCTAACATTCAGGAGGCAGAGACAGAAGGATTGGGAGTTCTAATTTAGGCCTTGTCTCAAAACCAAAAGCCAAGAAACCTGCTCATAATCAGAATTGCCCTATCCCTGTATCTCTATTCATATGGAAGCACACAACACTGACACACAAAACCCATCAGCTCCCCTGTGTGGTACACACACACACACACACACACACACACACACACACACACACTCACATGCATACACACACCTCCATCTCCCATCCTTTTCTTATACACTGTGCACATATACACATGTATGTTACTGACATGCCTACCCCCTACCACAGCCCTCCCTATACGTGTGTCTACAACACACACACACACACACACACACACACACACACACACACACACACGCTTGCGCACAATGACTGTGGGCGGCTGGGGAAGAGCTGCAGCCTACAGCCCTGCTCCTATTTAAAGAGAAACATTGCTGGAAAAGGAACAAAAGCAAAGCCAGCTATAAATAGCCACCTCCCTCCTGCTTTTCCTGCCCTCAGGCCAGAGCCTTGCCTCTCCTCTCCTGCCTAGGGCCCAGAGTAGCCAGGGCAGGCCTGGGGGGTGGGCAGCAGGGCCCCAGAGGCCATTTGGCCAACAACTGAGCAATGGAGCAGACCAGGGCTCTGGGCCTCAGAGTGCACGGCCACAGCTCCAGGCCACCTGCAGCCAACCCAGAGTGCCTGTGCCCAGCACAGGGGGAGGGAGGCCGCCTAGGCCAGGGCTGCTGCATCAGCAGAGCGGTAAGGCTGCCAGCTGAGGGTGGGAAGGCAGGAGCCAAGCAGCAGCCACTGCTGCCCTGGGCCACCTTCCTGGCCAGGCCAGGCCTTTCTTGATTGGGTTCATTGAAACACCTAGGAGGGAGTCAGGACGCTGGGATTTTGTCAGAAAATGGCATGGGACCAGCATGGTGGAGTATGCCTGTCATCCTAGTACCTGGAGAACTGTCATGACTCAGAGGGTGGGGATGGGGGTGTTCACACCTGTAATTCCAGCACTTGGGGTTCCTACCACCCACATGGTAGCTTACAACCATCTCTATAACCCCAGTTCCAGAGGATCTGATGCCACCTTCTGACCTCTAAGGGCCACACATACAAATATGATGTGCGGATATACATGCGGGCAAAACATACATAGAAGATAAAGTCATCACTTGAGACATTAAGACTGGGTAAAGATGAGGAGTTTGGGGCCAGCCTTGGCTACACAGTGAGTTTGAATGAGAACCTGCCTGAAAAAGCAAAACAAAACAAAAACCTAAACAGAAAAGAGAGTAACCAACATGGGGCACAAGAGAAGGTGTGAGAGCCAGGTGTGGTGGCTCAGCCTGTAAACCAACACAGCAGCAGAGGCGGAGACAGACGGAGCTCTGCAAGTTTGAGGCCAGGGCCACATTTGTCTACTCTGTGAGTTCCAGGCCAGCTAGGGCTACATAAAAAAAGCTTGTCAACAAGAAAAGAAGAGGAGAGGAGAGGAGAGGGAAGGGGAGGGAGGGGAGGGAAGGGGAGAGGAGAGGAGAGGGGAGGAGAGGGGAGGGGAGGGGAGAGGAGAGAGGAGAGGAGAGGGGAGGGGAGGGGGGCCAGGGGAGGAGAGAGGAGAGGAGAGGAGAGGGGAGGGGATGGAGGGGAGGAGAGAAGAAAAGAGAAGAAGAGAAGAGAAGAAAAGAGAAGAAGAGAAGAGAAGAGAAGAGAAGAGAAGAGAAGAGAAGAGAAGAGAAGAGAAGAGAAGAGAAGAGAAGAAACTCAGGCAGGAGGATGAGGGGGTATATTTCTTCCAGTCTGAGGCAAGGCCCTAAATACACCTTCTAGACTCAACTTCCTCTTGGAGGGTCGTCAAGAATGAAGCTGAGGCAAGACAATGGTGATCCCTAGCAGGCCCTTGGGAGTTCTGGTGGGTCATGGGATGGGAGATATGACAGGCTGCCCTCTAAATCTGAGAAGATTCCACTAAAACAATAACTGTTACTTCATTTACTCAGCATTTCCCATGTCCCTTGTCTGATCCCCTGTGAGGCTGCTTCTGTTTATTCTTCCATTTTATACATAAGAACACAGAATCGGAGACTTATTCTAAGGACACAAGGATTTCCAAAATACTGAGCCAGGGTGCAAAGTGAAGTTGCAGCAGAGACCAATGTGGTCTTGCTACAGACCGCTGGAGCCCAGGGGAGCCTGGCTCTCAGGCTAGCCCTCAGGTACCATGCAAACTTGGGCTGCACTGGCTGCTACTCCCTGTTTAGCCTAGGCTAGGTAGGCTTCGGGGAGGGAGGACGTAGGCGTCCTTCCCCACTGCACTCCTTACCCAAGATCTGCTGTCTCAATCCACACCCTCCCTGGCTTCCTGAGGGGCCTCTCCACGCCAGGGGGGAGGGGAGGAGAGAAAGCAGGCAGACCTACTTTCAAGGCTTTAATCCTTTTTGCTTAAAGGATTTTTTTTTTTTTTTTTTTTTTTTTTTTTTTTTTTTTGCTTGGGGAAGACTTGGTCTGATCAGAGGAGAGGCGCAGGGAGCTGACAAGCTCTGGAGGATGGGGGTGGGGAGGAGAAAGAAATACATATTTATTACCCTCAATTATTAAAAAACAGATAGTACAGATCTTAGGTCCTGGTAGACACTAGCAGCATTTGTTCAAGGACTGTTTCTCTTTCCTTTTTCTTTCCTTTTTTTTTTTTTTGGTTAATTCTGTTGAGATGGTAATGCAGTTAGCTTGTTAGTAAAAACACCAGCCAGTTCCCAGTGGGGCAGGTAGGTCAGCAGCAGTGCACATTGGGCCAGTGACCAGGGAGCACCCATATTCCTGGCATAGGGATGGCACAGGCCTAAACTCAGCTTGGAGGGGGCACAAGAGGGCCTCATTCTGTGCTCTCCGCTATGTCTGCCCAGTGCTCTCTGGGACAAACCATCCACAGTAGGCAGCCTTCCCACAGGGTAGTCCTTCTTTTCAAAGGGGTGGTGGGAGACAAATCAATGGATCCCAGCTTCCTTTGCTGGGGGAAGGGGTAGCTCTCCACCAGAGCTGCTCAGTGTCCTCACAGGGGAACCCTGCCAGCTCCCAGGACACCCCTTTCTCCTCCAGAAATGTATTTACCTGCTAAGAAGGCAGGTCCTATGCTCAGACAAAGATTCCAGAGCCCCCCAAAAGGGACCAAAAGCTTCCTGGTGCTGGCCGACAGGCCTCTTTGTTGTAGATCCTGAGCAAGGTGGACCCAGGCAAGGCAGGCCCTGTAACAAAGAGTAAGAAAATGGCACAAGAGGGAGGCACAGAGAAAGGAGCTGTGAGCCTCAGTGACACACAGTAGGGCCTCAGTGCAGAGATGCTGAATAATCAAAAGCAGTGCAGAGAGCAGCACCAAGGTTGCAGGGAGGCACTCAGGAAGGCACTTGGTGCCCACTTGGTCACCATTCAAATCTCCAACGGGCAGGTGGCATTAACCCATGGTCTGTTTTTATGTTCTTTGAGACTGTCTCATGCAACATAGGCTGATCTTGAACTTGCTCTGTAGCCAAACCTGGTTTTGAAATCTTGAGTCTCCTGCCTCCACACCACACCTCCTGAGTAATGAGCTCTTGAGAGTTAAAAGCACTTGGTCACAGTTTGACCTCTGGCAAATGTCTGGTTCCACAGCCTTCTACCTGTCTGCTTACCCTGATCTGTTGAGGCTACAGGGAAACCTAGCAGGCCTGCCATAGGCCCAGAGGAATCATGCAGGAAGTTATCGATGTCCATTTCACAGCCACAAGAGCAAGGCATGAGTCTGGGGCTGGGTTTGCCTTTCTGCTGTTTTCTGAAAGAAGGGGCAGATGGGAAGTCAGGGTGGGCAAGGACAGAAGTTGGGAGCAGCAACTGTTAGAAAAGCCCCCTGCCCTGTGGTTTTCCAGTCAATGAACAGTTC